ATAGGACAGCCAGAATAGAAGGGAGGTAGACCATGAACTGCAGGCTAGAAATCAGAAGTTCACTAAGGAAATGCTGAAGGAACAGTGCAAGACCCCAAAGGGAAGCTAGGACACATACAAAAATTCCTCAGTATGACAGAGTTCATGCCCAGAAACTGAAATAGATATTATTTGAGCTTCAGTTGTTTCAAATAATTATTCTTTGTCTTCCAGAGACTTGGATTGTTCTACCTGCCTCAAGCCCGGTTCTCTTGCTTTGCCAAATCCAGCTAGCCTGTCACAGCAGAGTGTGTGTGGGGGGGGAGTAACTGCCTCTAGACAGTATTCAGCCCTTTTCTGAAAGTTCTATGTGTGGTCATTACTTGCTAAAATTGCTGTGTGCTTCATGTAACGGCATCGAATATTCCAATCCTTGTCTATCAGCTATGAACATTTTATCTGCATATCATAAAGCAGAGCCTTATCAAGTCCTCCAGCATCCTGTCTGCATGGCTTGCCGCATACTTTCTGACCTTGTGCAACCATCTTTCATGTGCAATACTCAGATGAAAGCTGGGAATGTTTGCCAAGCAAGGTTTATCTGGCCACAGAAGGAGTTCTTAAGATGTGATAAATTATAGACACCAGTGTGGAAAGTGGTTGCTCACTGATTCCTGAGTCATTCTCTGTAAATCATGATCCAGCACATTCTTTTCAGGAGTGCTCTGTCTCATTTCCCTCTTTTGCTCTCTTGGTGTAATCAGGGATTGCAAAGAGATTAGGCTAAAGTGTAATTTATGTAATGACTATCATTAGAAAATGCTGCTTCCACTAGCTATCCCTGTTATCCGTAGCTGTATATTCACGTTCTGCAGTATGATCCAGAGGACACTTCTCACTGGAAACCCAGGATCTTCAGCTCATCTATAAGTTCATAGGATGGCCTGGGGCTTATAACAATTTCTTCAGGTCCCTAGCTGTAAAATTGGAAGAATAATGATAGCAGGTTTGTTTTAACAAATGAGATAGATCAGGGCTGTAAGACACCTTAGCGTTTACACTGATGTGTAAAAGATGAATTGTAATAAGTGTGTTATAATACTGCCTATTGGCATGGATTCAACCATCCATGCACAAAAGGCATGCAGAGTTTTCCTGAGTTCTTTTCCATTCCACAGCTCGTGTGTGTATGTGTGTGTAAAGCACCATCAAATCACAGCAAACTTATGGTGACCTCCCCACAAGGGGCTTTCAAGGCAAGTGAGAAGCAGAGGTGGTTTGCCACTGCCTTCCACTGCAGAGTCTTTCCTGGTGGTCTCCCACCCAAGTACTACTGACCATCCATAGATTCCAAGACCTAGCTATACCATGCTGCCTTCCCTCCTGCAGCTCCTTTAGACCCTTGGAAAGCTCATTCCTGGGCTTGTGGGATCCCTGCAGAAGATTAGCTGTGCAGGTCAGTGGGCAGGAGTAAGGAAGGACAAAGAATGAAACTGACTCCTTTGCTCAGTAAAACTGCACTTGCAAAAGAGGAAGGGGGAGCAATTTTACCTCCTTGTCCTTCCTCAAAACTGTTCCCCAATATGTGCAGCTATTCCTCCATGCAGTTCCCATGACCCTGAAAATGATCTTTCTGGAGGTCAACAAGAACAAAGAAGAACTCAGGAAATCCAGCCCCACCCGGCAGAAGACCAACGGCCATACTGCTGGGGGCTGCCTTTGCCCCCCTTGAAGGACTGGGGACAGGCTGGATGCTGAATCACAGCATCCGGTTTTTTAAGGGGTGGAGTTGGTGCGTTAACGGACAGCTCTGCTCCCTCCCCCTTTCAGTTGCTGCCTTTCTTCTGGCCACCCTCCCACCGTGATCATTCTACAGGCGTTGCTGGTCGCCCATTTTCAGGGGGCCAGGTAGGAATTTTTTTCATCTCTGGCTGATTGGCGGTGGTCGGGGATATTTTTCGCCTACCCTGTACAGTTACTTAGTGGGTTGTGGAATTGGCATGGGGTGGTGCCTTTGTTGTAGGTTGGTCACTTTAGTTGGCGGGATGGGGGCTGGTGATTCTGAGGCAGCTAGAGGAGCACCAATTAAGGGTCCCAGTTGGGGGCTAGGCATCTGGCCAGATTAGCCTTTGGGTTGCGTGACCCAGGGTTCTGAAGGCAGACTGCCCAGGGTCTGCAGGGATTGAGACTCCATCAAAGTTGTACGGCTTGGTGGGGGAATATCCATGGCATCGCCCATTTGTTGTGCCAGGCAGATGCGAGCCTAATGTGCTGGCTCGATCCAGGGCATGGTGGGTCCCTGTTATACAGCTAGGGAGGGGCCAGGGATGACCACTGGCCTGGACCATGCTGCAAGACACTTGGCCCTTGCCATTGAGTTCAAGTTAATATGTTAAATAAAGTGGCCCTTTAGTTTATCCAATCCTCTGTGTCTGTCTTTTCATTCCGAATAGGGGGCAAACTTTGTGTTCCATGTATGGAATGGTTGTATTAATGCCATTAGACGTTAATTGTTATATCTTGCCTCCTTCTTCTCCTCCCTCAAGATGTACCATGAATTGAGACCAGATTGAACAGCTTTTGGTAACGTCTTCTTGCCCCTTTCCATTGTATTTGTACAATTCACAAGAGGTGATCTCTTATCTGTACAATGTTTCCCTGAGCCGGCCTTGGCTGGGAGGGCGGGATATAAATCTAAATAAATAAATAAATAAATAAATTTTCTGCTAATGTTAAATAACCAGAAATTTCAGCTAGGGTTGGGCTGTTACCAGAGGATCTATGTGTTTGGGCCTGAAGGGGCCTAGGAGCATTATAGGCACACCTTGCTAGGTTCCAGTGCTTGCCAGGGGTCTCTGCCAAGCTGCTGTGGGGTTACTTTGGGGAGGCCACATCGTAACTCTGGGGATGTCTGCCTTTCTGTCCTTCAGAACTTGCCTTTGGAGACTTGGGGATGGCCCTGCCAGGTCAACATGTATTTCCATTCCTTTACTGCTCCTTATAAAAGAATACACCCTGGTGCTCTGGACCTGTGTGTTTGAGCCCTGGGAGAGGGGATTGTGGGAGTTGTGGACATGCTTCCCTTGCTTGTGTTGTGTGGCTAGGGTGTCTTGCCAAGCTGCCATGGAGTTACTTTGGGGAGCCCCTGTCGAAACTCTGGGGATGTCTGCCTTTCTGTCCTTCAGAACCTACATCTGGAGACTTGGGGGGGGCTGCAAGCATAGGATCCTTGCCTTGCTTCCAATGTCTGCCCAAGTGATGTTTCACTGTGAGTTTGGTGTCACTGATTTGTTCCTGAGTGTTCCATGAACTCCTGTAACAGCAGTTATCTTTTCCAGGGAGCACAGGGGAGACCTTTTTTGGGAGTCCATAACTGGGACCCCAGAAATGTAATCTGTCCCATCTTGGGGAGATTATAGAGGAACGGGCGACAAGGTGAGGTTCCCTGTGTGTTTAGTGTATGTAGGCTGCAGGGGATCCATTCTGTACACTTTTGAACCTATGCCTGACGTTTCCCACAAAACCACTTTTCTGGGGACATCTTTGAGGGGCCATAACTCAGACTCCAATCTGCACATAACTTGGAGGGCATGTAGAGGAGCATCGGGGGAGGGGTGTCTCCTGTGATTTTGATGTCTCTAGCTTGCACAGGGTCTGTTCTATACACTCTTGAGCCTCCTGAATCTGCACCTGGTATTTCCCCAGAAAGCACTTTCCTGGGGGCACCTTCTTTGGGGGAGCCATAACATGTACCCCATTAATCCAATCCAAGAGCAGATATAGAATTATAACAGAGTAAAATACTTATAAAATGCTGTGGGCTGTTCTGGTAAGTCCCTGAGGGTCTCTTCTCCAAACCTCTCTTTCTGCCCCAGCTTCTCCAGGTCAGCAACCCTAAAGGGAATGAACCTGCTCCCTGAGAGCCATGAGCTCCATGCAGCAAGCACACACCCATGATGCCCACCCAGTGGCTAGATAATCATACATGTGGTACTCTCTGCAAGACACTCGATAGCCCCCACTCCCTTGTTGGCTTTCTAACTTCACAACTGGTTAGTTGTTTAAAGGTATCTTAGAGTGATGCGGGGTCCCCAGGCTAAGAGTCACAGGCCAAAAGTTCTCTGGCTCTTGCCCTTTGGCTCATGCCCAAGGCTCGTGCCTCTGATGATGAGGAACCTTAGATTTCAGAGGCACACAGCCCCCACCTCTCAGCAGCAATCAGCTCCAGGCAAACAGACCTTGCTCAATCAGCAACAGACCAGACAAAAGACCCAAACAGACCCAGTTAAAACACCACTCTAGCAGGTTACAAGCACTCACCCTCAAACTCTGTCCTCTCACAAAGCAACCTCATTTAATGCTCCCTGGCAGTTTAGCAGTTTAGGAAAGGGGGGGGGAACCACTCACCAGCAGCTCTCTCCTTTGCTTCTTCTCCCACCCCAGCTGGCTCCGTTTTTCTGGATTTTCTTGTCTAAACAAGACAATCTAACTGGTGAATAATTACAATAACATGACATCCAAAGATCTAGATTCAAGTCCAATAGCACCTTAGAGACCAACAAGATTTTGGGGGTATAAGCTTTCAAGAGTCAAAGCTCCCTCTGTCAGATATCCAAAGATGATTGGACCCAGCCATTGTGGGAAAGGAAGGTTTAAGCAGGCATTTTTGGATAACAATTCAAGGCCCTTTAAAACTTAGTTTTTTGCTTGGAAAATGTTTGTCCAAAGAATTTTGGACAAACCCTATTGGACATCCCATGTCAATGGATGAAAGAGGTGGCAGCTGTCCATGGTGCTAACATAGATGACTGAGCATTAAAAAGGCAATGGAACTGTAAACTACTTAAATCTTAACATGTCTGTACTGGGACTTTTCTGTTCTTCGGCGTAAACACTGACCTGTATTTTAGTATGAAAAAGAAGGCAGCATGTAGCAACTACCAGGAATGTAAAGATATACAGCTGGGGTAAGTAAGACTATTAAAAAAAATCTTTGTCTCTCTGTGTTTCTTTTTAAACAGGAACGAATTTTCCTGACACTCTCCAACTACATTTTCACAGCAATTTTCCTGGCTGAAATGACTATAAAGGTAAATGAGCCTGTGATCACCTTCACACAAATCCTTCATCACTTGCACCTTTCATATTCACTGAACTCATCCCAGCCCTTCATGAAATATATGCACATAAAAGTACCAGAGAGAAAAGTCGTCAATACTGAGTCAACCCAACATACACAATGGGGATGCAAATGCACAGTTGCCTCAGAAATTGAATTTAAGTTAATGTGGAATTCCCTCCTAATTCTGTCTTGAAACTTGCATGCACTCAGTGAGTGTGTTTGCCATATTTCTAAGGTTTATTCAGGAAGCGTGATAGCTAGTGACTTGGCTTTTCAACAAACTGAAACATTTCATGATTTCACATTGTGCACAACTATGAAATTCTGTGCTGTTCAATTCATGACTTTATCCCCATATGACAGATTACCAGCACCATTATCATTTTATCAGTGATAACAAGACTTTCAGAATGTACACTCAGCCCTTTTCAGCAAAACATACTCATATTTATTTCAACTTGACTTTTAAAAACATACTTAGAATTGAATTGGTGTTCAAGCCTTTCCTAAAGATGTATGCAGTTGTGAAGCCAATGTAACCTGTATGTGACCTTGTTGTTTCATAAAGTGGTCCACCCAAACTATCCACTGAAGTATTTTTTTTTAATCTTGGGTTGCATGTGAATTTAATGGCCTGCCTATGAGTAGTTTCTAGACCAGAGGTCCCTGTGGTGCCCACCAACACCTTTCCTGGTGTCCACCAACTGCTTTTAGAAAGTGGGCAGGGCCAGCTGGGGCTTTTGCCCAGTAGGGCTTCTAATTAGCTATGCAGATTTTAAAGGCACCCCTTTAAACAGAGCTTCTACCTGAAACGTTGAAGTGTTACTATCAGAATTATATGTAAACTTGCTTCCTGACATTTTGTGGCTGGCTCCACCTCCTGTACCAGACATTTGTGGTTGTGCCCACCACCCTCTGTCAGAATTCCATAAATGCCTGCAGGCTCAACAAGGTTAAAGACTCCTGTTCTAGACTGAGTCTGAGAATTCCCCCCCCCCAGTTAATACACAAATAACAGTGAAGGCTTTGAAGAACAAAAATGCTACTTAATGCTATTAACCCTGGGAAACAGTTTCTCATCCTGGTGATATGCAGTGTAATCCGGTGATAATTTCAATGGACTTTGAAGGGTGTAACTCTGCTTAGGATGGCACTGTAAATTTCCAAAGAAAACCTCAGTATTCATTTGAATGGCAACATCTTATGGAGACAGAATATTCAGTTCTGACTGCAGATCAAACATAAGGCTGCAGAAGAGTAAGTAGGATTGGCAGAACCACTGCAGTATGCTGGCTTTGGGTCCCTGTTAGGGAGAAGGTTGTTGTTGTTCAGTCACACAGTTGAGTCCAAGTCTTCACGACCCCATGGACCACATCATGCCAGGCCCTCCTGTCCTCCATCGTCCTCCAGAGTTTGCTCAATTTCATGTTCGTTGCATCATTAGGGAGAATAGCAGGATATAAATATGAAACAAAATGAGTGCTAGGCTTGGATGTTTTAAACATTGTGTTCAAAACTGTTCACTGTTTATCCTTATATGTCTTGTAGGGTCGTCACAAAGTTTGTGCAATCAAAAAGGCTTTTACGATGTTCTCTTTTCCCCAAAAAAAGTTTTATTATCGGGTTATAACAACATGTCCAACATTATAACATTCCCTTATTTCCAATATAGCCCTTTTCCCTTCTTCCCTCCCTCCCCTTCTCCAGGCTTCCCGCAGTGATCCCACCCCTACCAAATTTCTTATTCTTATCTAATCCTTCTCCTAAACCATAGTTTGATAAGTAACTATTATTTTAACTATCTTTCTTTTATAATCTATCTTATAGGTAAGATTTCTTTAACTACCATTAACTTCTATTCAACTCTTTACTCATTCTATTCCTAATAATTATTAAAGCATAATAAATTGTTTCTAACATCCCAATATTTCTCTAGATATTCCTTAAAAATCCATCCAGTCTGCAAATAATTCTTTGTCTTCTTTGTTGTTAAGTTTTCTTGTCAATTTGTCCATTTCTACCATAAAAAGCATTTTTCTAATCCATTCCCAAACCTCTGGTACTCGGTCTTGTTTCCAATATTGAGCATAGGTCATTCTTGCCGTTGTAATCAAATACCATAACAAAGTTCTCTTAGTTACATTCACTTCTTCCATTTTAAGACCCAAAAGAAGTATTTCTGGTTCTTTTTTAAAATTACATTTCAAAATTTTTTGCATTTCATTATGGACCTTCGTCCAAAAAGTCACTGCTTTATCGCAAGTCCACCACATATGGTAAAAAGAACCTTCTTTTTTCTTACATTTCTAACACTTATTTGACATATTATCATTCATATTAGCAATCTTTTTAGGCATCATGTACTATCTATACATCATTTTAAAACAATTTTCCTTTAAATTATTACATGTTGAAATTTTCATTGAATTTTTCCATAAACATTCCCAAGATGACATAGCTATTTCCTTATTCATATTAATTGCCCATTTTATCATTTGTTCTTTCACCGTTTCATCTTCTGTGTACCACTTTAATGTTGTTGTTGTTGTTGTTCAGTCGCACAGTCGAGTCCGACTCTTCGCGACCCCATGGACGAGCTCTCTCCAGGCCTTCCGGTCTTCTGCCGTCCTCTGAAGTTGGCTCAACTTCATGTTCGTTGCATCGATGACACTGTCTAACCATCTCATCCTTTGCCGTCCCCGTCTTCTTTGACCTTCAATCTTTCCAAGCATCAGGGTCTTCTCCAGTGAGTGCTCCCTTCTCATTTGGTGGCCAAAGTATTTGAGCTTCAGTTTCATTATCTGGCCTTCCAGGGAACAGTCAGGGTTGATTTCTTTGAGGATTGACTGATTTGTTCTTCTTGCAGTCCAAGGGACTCTCAAGAGTCTCCTCCAGCACCATAGTTCAAAAGAATCTATTCTTCGGCGCTCGGCCTTCCTTATAGTCCAACTCTCACAGCCATACATGACTACTGGGAATACCATTGCTTTGACCATGCGGACTTTTGTTGGCAGGGTGATGTCTCTACTTTTTATCATGCTGTTTAGGTTCGCCATCGCTTTCCTCCCAAGGAGCAGGCGTCTTTTAATTTCATGGCTGCAGTCACAGTCTGCGGTGATTTGATGACTAGGGAGCCATGTACCTGATGTTATCTGCAGGTCGTCTTGAAGAAACAGGCTCTGAAGAACTGCTCTTCCAAAAGCAGCATCAGTTTTAGCACAGTGCATCACCACCAGGAACTTCTCAAAGGCTGAAGTCAGTGAACCAATAGCAGACCTGCAGAGATATGTCACCAAGTATCTGGAGAAAGTGGCAGAATCAGGAGCCATAATGACCCTTTCACAGTACTAGCTTGCTTGATACGTTCGCATCAAACTTTAAAGCCAGGCATCTTTCCCGGCATTTGAAAGACATGTTTGCACTCACTGGAGAAAACCCTGATGCTGGGAAAGATTGAAGGTCAAAGAAGACGGGGACGGCAAAGGATGAGATGGTTAGACAGTGTCA